GAGAGAGAGAGAGAGAGAGAGAGAGAGAGAGAAGGGGGTTCAGAGGCATTCTGTGACTGCAAAACTATATTTGTTTACTTGAATGTGGTGTCTTTGATGTGATGTGTGTAGGTTATTGAAGCCACAAGATTTGATTGTAACATTTCTTTAGAGCAAAGTCAAATCCTGAAAACTCAAGGGGACTCTTAAGCAAACAATTTTGTTTCAAAGCGTGATATGTTCTTTCCGTTAGTAATTATTTTTATTTTTTTAAAGAATGAGGACAGAAGACAACTCAGTTAAAGGAAAAAGTAACGAGAATGCAGTATGTATGTGTCTGTACTGAACATGAGTAACAGGTGACCCGTGTCACTTCAACAGTTAGGATGGCCGAGTGGTCTAAGGCGCTGCGTTCAGGTCGCAGTCCACTTCTGTGGGCGTGGATTCGAATCCCACTTCTGACAACTTTTTGCACAATGAAAATACGGTAAGATCTTAGCATTAAACACATTTCATAGTATGCTATTTTAATTAATCATGTTTTTGTTCATGATACAGAGTCGTATAATCATAAGACAGTCAAACTGCGCTGTCAATAATAACCTATATAATTTAATTCCGGTATAGCTTGATACGTAAAGTTCTGCTAACAGCTTATCACAGTGACTTTATTGAGATACTTGGAGGTCTTTTTAGTAAGGCAAAGAGAAACACTTAATTTAGAAAACAAAGAAGAAGAGAAAATAAAGAGAAGAAAAGAATAATGCACGATACACATACATTGTGTAATGATAATTTATACTTTGCCGTAGCGTGTCAATGCCACCTTGATTTATTTATCGAGAGAAAGTTGAGCTGTTTTCTTTGCAATTGAGAAAATAGCTCATTTGGGGATGACTTTATAGATATTTTTTCCTGTACAGTTTTTCATTCTTTTCTGACGTCTTGGGATGCTAAAAGTTCGATCTACTTGAGGAGCCTGCGAATTACATGATCGCTAAGTAGACTTAGTGGTGAGTTTCACATATTCACTTCAATCGTTGGTATGCTTCCCCTGTCTTTTAGACACCACTTAACACATTCATTTATTCATTGATTGTGATGCCAGGGCTTTCCGGGATGTCAATACACAGCTTGACAAGATGGGTGTGGGTTGAGGTAGCATGTACGAAAAGACAACGCTAGGTGAACATCAGGTTCGAAATAATTTGTAAGGCATCGTGGTGAAAGCAGGTGCTTGGCAAAATAATGAAATTGAAGAAATCAATATTTTCCCCCTCGATTGGCAAGTTTCATCTATTTTTTTTTTATGTTTTTGGCTCAACACATTTTATGCTCATTTAAAACACATTTCTGCAGGAATGTTTTTACTGAAAAACGTCGATCAAAGGCACAAAAAATAGAAATTTATAGTTTCCAAAGACACTACAGCTTTGGAAGTCACCAAACATTGGTGGCCATTTTCTCGCTTATTTTACCTCTGGCACCAGGCGACACCCCCCTCCTTCAATCGCCAATACCTCCACTTCTATTTTAGATGGATGGGTTGTTTTTTTCATAAAATCAAATTAAATAAACAAGCTTTAAAATGGTACCATCAATGACTCCACATGACAGACAATTTATGATCACCATCATGTCGTGACACTTAGGTCCCACAACAGCTGCACTGGGAACACCCTGGCCCAGACATTTTCCACCGGAGACAAAATGGCCACACAGTTCGTAGTCCAGGAGGCATCATACTGAACTACCACGACTAAGACCCAGGTTCGAATTCCTGTCAGGGCGTTCTAAACTTAGATTGACAGGGAAGTTTCTATGGCTTTCCTCACACTCAGCTGAGTTGTTTTGGATAAATAGAAGATTATTTCTTTAAAAATAACATTAGGGCGTCAAAATTGACGTTAGAACCATACAATACCATATCAGAGTACAACAAAAGAGAGGCAAGAGAAAGAAGATACATCTTTATTAGTCCACGAAGGAATTTTTGCTTTTACATTGACAAGCGCAAGAATCTGGAATACATGTATAATATATCAATAAAAGCGTCAGACAATAAAAAAAAGACGTGTGAACTATGTACTTGGGTACCACACTGCATCGATCTGTTTTTGAGAAAGGCATTAGGTGCCTTTTTCACGAACACGTAAAAGAAATAATCTAAAAGCTAGTGTTGATATGGACGTTAAAGCCATGTACGTACACCATCTGAAGGCCTTTGCAACAGCTTTATTACTGTGAAATTCTTTATCAGGCTGTGTTCAATTATTTAAAAGCAGCCTTGCAACTGACAACTGAGAAGTTATTCAAAAATCTGATAACGACATGGTGCAATTTTATATCTGCTGTGGTCTTTCCCAGCTAAGAAATAAAAGAGTCAATCATATTCGTATAAAGCAAAGCCACGTCATAAACGTAAATGATTTTAGAACCACCTGATGACGGTTAAATCTATTAAATAATTTAAGAGGGTAAAATAATCGATATCTGACGGATTCAGACACGTGTATAACAAACAGGTCAAGTTTACCCTGTTCTCGTTAGTCTGCGGTTTACCTTTGTTACAATATTTTCCTCATGAAACTGGTTGAAACCAAAAAATTGCAAACATCAGGACCATTACAAAAAAGAGACTTAAAATTTCAGAAATAACTTAGAAACTATAAAGTGAAAACTATTGTCTTGCATACACGCAAGTTCAATTTAGCCTGAAATTCTATTTAGACTTTTAATTAAGGCAGTTTGAATAGAAGGTAAATGACACTGTCAGAAACAAAAATAAGAGGTTATAGAAAAATGAACGATTTTTTATCGTCTCCTTTTTCCAAAATATAAATCCTTACTCTCTGATCATAAGACACCATCCTTATCTAAGAAGTACACAGATATACAAACTTTGTTCAGCAATCACATTTGGAAATAAAACGTCAGTGTTGTATTATTGATAACACAGAAATCGAGACCTTACAACATGAAATACTCTTGGTCTAAAGCAATATTGTAATACATAATACTATTTGTCTCTGGTTAGTTTCAATGATCCCAACACAAACTTGATATAGCCATGGGGCACAGGTGACAAAAAATTCTTGGTCTGCAATTTTCGAGAGCTTAATGACGAAAACAGAACAATTTTTAAAAAACTTGATATTGATCAGGTACATACCATTAAAAAGAAATGTAAAATAATAGGCCTATCATTACTTTGTACATTAAAAGCGTTGTGAATAGAAAGGAGGGCAAACGAAAAATTTTTAAGGTAATACCCTGCAAACCCTACTTGTGTGAAAAGAACAAAAGGAATGCATGTCACCAGGACTTAAGGGGGGGGGGGGCTACACCTGAAGGCTATCTCGCTTATTACTGGACCGAATTTTACCAAATATCGCACATATAACAAGCATAGTAAGGAGTCTTATAATCGGCAATCAAATTTGAGAAGAAGTTTTGTTTCCATGGATACGGCGGCCATATTGGATTTTGTTGACATGTCTTACGTAATGACTACCGCACTTATCGCTCATGGAAATTGATTGTTTTTTTGCATGCGTATTCACAAACATTAGATCTAAAGATTTGTCTGTTGGTTTTTTTCCTAAACGAATTCAAAAAATTTTAATGAATTTTTTCCTGAGGTAGCATTCAAGTTTGCAAAAAATCCGTGAAAATCCACACTCCAGACACCACCAACAAAAATCTATTCCAAATATCAAAAATTCAACAGATAAATATTTAGTATTACATCTTCTCTTCATTCTGTGAAAATTTTATGAAGATTGGATGAAAAATGGTGGAGTTATTCAAAACAGTATAGAGAAAAGTCGCATTTTGAGAAAACGGCCGATAAAGAAAAATAAAATACTAACTTTAAGAGGAAACAGCCGTGACAAACATGCCCTGTAGGGGAAAAATACTGTTTTGGGGGGTTCTTATGTGATGAAATAGTTGTAGGAGAGGCTGAGGAAGCTAAAAATGCCTACAGCTCAAATTCCATAAATTTGAGCCGAATTTTGACTTTGGGGGTGTAGCCCCCCCCCCCCCCCCCTTTAAAACTGTCGGGCAGTAAGTGGGTAAGTGATTAAAAAGCGTTCGGACACATTATCTAATATTTGCGTCTACTTTTCAGTCCGCAAACACAAACAACAATGAAAATCGATTCTTTAATGCAAATTCAACTTATAAAGAATACATTTCAAGCAAGATATTATCAGTTTTAACAGTTGAGAAAAATACTCCACTTTTCAATTCTTGAAGGGAGCGCGAAATTCCTTATCCGAAATTGACACAACATACCTCATGAAAGTAAAACTTTACGAACACGCAGCTACGTGAATAGAAAAGAAAACACGAAACACTGAAAAAACAAAACTCAGAAACCCTCTTCCGGTACAAAAATACCAAACAATACACGATTATTATCACCAAGACCAAAGTATAAAATGTGTGGTAAGTGAAGAAAAAAACCCAGCATCTTATACAAAGTATCTTATTTTGGAAAAAAGGGTAAGTTTTTTGTCAATATGGCATCTAAAATTCTACTTCTAGAATCTAGATCTATCTCGAAAAAAAAAAACAATTCAAAAGTGTGAAAACTCTTATTATGTAGCTAGTATGTTGAGTAGTACAGGAAATAATGATATGAATATATAACGTCATAATAATTTCTATAACATTCATAGACTTAACAGTTTGCAAACACCTTGAACGTTTGGTACACGCTTTATAATATTAGTGCCACTTTTCAGTCCACAAACAACAATGAAAATCGATTCTTTAATGCAAATTCAACTTATAAAGAATACATTTCAAGCAAGATATTATCAGTCTTAACATTTGAGAAAAATACTCCACATTTCAATTCTTGAAGGGAGAGCGAAATTCCTTATCCGAAATTGACACAACATACCTCATGAAAGTAAAACTTTACGAACACGCAGCTTCCTGAACAGAAAGGAAACCATGAAGCACTGAAAAAACAAAACTCAGAAACCCTATACCGGTACAAAAATAGCAAACAATACACAATATAATGTCTAGAGGAGCATCATGTAAAATGCGTGGTGTTGGCGTTAAAAAAGGGGGAGAATGGGGAGGGGGTGCGTGGGCAGAGGGGAGATGAGGAAATAAAAGGCTTTCGGGAAAAAAGTGCTCACCTGATATTTCAATTGTGCAACACTAAAAATTAGACTATAACATTACAATAAACTTAGCTTAAAATCAATTTTGAAAGATGAAGGATTCTAAAAAAAATTATAATTTCAAACCTTGTTGTACCCTCCGTCCACATATGGAAACCTGTAATGTTGTCTCATAGTTAAACTGATGACTTTCCTCATTTCCCCATGATTTCATCACGAGTTTCACTGATATTCGCCATTTTTCTGAGACAAAGTGGAATTAGAAAGTAATACATTAAAAAAATTGGCTAGGAAACCAGAATCTGTTTCTTGTGTCTGATCAGCGCTGTGTGAACAGTCTTCCGACAAAGCGAAGACTGCGCTGAGAAGACTGGAGCGCAGGCTTATCGACCCTGTCTCGGTAACATAGATTAAAATCTCATTAATTCGTCCTTTATTTTATGCTTAAGTTACCTGTATACGGAAGTCTATTTGCTTTCTATGCTGCCAGTTTTGTCATCTATATGTTGGGAATCACGAACTGCCCTAAAACTTGACCCCGTTTAACATAAAATAAAACCGAACTTTGGTAGAAATGAATGACAAACATAGTTTGATTATATTATAGACCAGAAAGGTATGTTTCTGTTAAGACTGTAAGCAACCGAGCGATGCTGTGAACCAGCTGAACTGGTGTGTCGTACACTAAAACTTAAAGAACAGAGCACATCATTGAAAAAAACCCGTCTTTCAAAAACGAGGCAGTGAAAGGTCCGGAACGTGTTCTAATGGTATTAGCCATGTCAAGGACCTTCTGACTTTGTGGCTCTTCTTTTTGTGTTTCACTTTGGAAGTTTTCAAACAGCAAGCATCTATAACGTACACTTTCCAATAAATGTCCAAGTTTACTCGTTTGTCTCCTACACCACAGATCAAATGTTTCAAGATTTCTGACCTTTGTTTCATACTCGTGAGGATGGGCGAAAAGGACAGCAGTCCGTTTCAGTAGCTCTTCTTCGATATTTTCCTTTAAGTGCTGCACCAACCCAAGGTCTTCCTCAGTATAATCAGTTTTAAAAGGCAAAACCAAAAGGAACAGGTGTATTTCACCGTTGCAATAGCGAAGGCAGGTCTTCAAGTATTTCCTTGCCTCTTGATTTTCCTTCCCATAGTCGATAGAGCTGTTATTTGCTCTGTCCTTCACCCAAGGGGTATCCACAACTCTGACGCAGTAGTCCCCTATGACTTTGGTGCGCACGTCCTCTCTGGGTGTCCTGAATCCATCTTCGCCTAAGATGCGGTTTCCGATGACACTTTTGTGGCTGCCAGTGTTGTCGATCAGCACAATGTTGAGCTCTGTGGGCTCACTCAAAGGTTGGCTGAGGAACAAAAATCCACATCGTCTGGCGTTAGTCTTCGACGTTCCCTACTTTAAAGGGAGTGATTAACATAATACTTCAATTAAAATATTGAATATTTTCAATACATTTCAGCCGCTTTTTTAAACTACTTACAAACGAACATAATTCTTTCTTTCAAAAGTCAAATGCCGAGAATTAGACTACCATGATATAAATGTTATCTCTATCTGCTCCAAGAATGTAAAACAGTTACTGACAGGTCAAATGAAGGGTACCCTACGTCACAGTGACATTACCGCTTTTCCGTAACGAAGTAAACTAGTAAACCACACACGCACATACAGAACCACACATCCCCTATGCAAACACGCGCGTGCGCATGCGCGCGCATGCGTGCAAGCATCCACAGACAAACATAACACTGCGGCACGTAGTCCTATAAAACTGGAAACACGACGATTAACATAAAAGGTCTTGAAATTATACATTACTAGGAAAGTAAACTGAAGAATTTTCCAGTTACCCATTCCAGCAGATGTTTCGAGCTTTGTCTAGCGTTGCGCAATTTAGAGGACACGAGGCTTCATCAACACTTTGAAACACGAAGCAACCATTCGTGCTAGTCGATTACAGTACGCGAATGGTTCCTGATAAAATTGAAAGCAAAGATCGTGTATGAAAAGATACTTCACTCCTCTCTTTGAGCCAATTAAAAAAGTGTCGTCAAAATTCGGTAGCGGCCTCTTCGAAAAACAGCGGACTGTGCAAACAGCTAACCTACTTGTGTGAAAAATAACAAAAGTCAAACTAACAAACTGCTTCAAAACAAAGACGGCAGCGCTATATGAAGAAATGTGCAGACTTCCGGGGACATCAATTAGGCTGAGTGAACAATCTTGTTATTATTATTATGTACGATCTTGGCTGAAAGCAAAGAAAGTACATAACAAGATGGGCCACTCGGCCAAAAAAGTGTCCGCCGGAAGTTCGCTCTTTGCTTCAGATGGCGCTGTAGTCTGTTTTGAAGCTCTCTTTCGTTTTTCCAGAAGAAGAATAGGAATAGCACCCCCTTGAGTGCGCAGATCGACTGCTGTTCATCAGCAGTTCGGGTTCGTTCAGTGCGGAGTTTTAGGTTTTATTTATTATAATGACCTCTCGCCTTTCATTCTAAAGTCAAATTAAACGAAGAAAACAATAATCCTTTCCTCAGGAAGAGGTTTTTTGTCAGCGTAACCATTTTTTAAAAAGCGTTCTCCCGATATTTATTCAAAAACTTGCTTGTTTCACTTTGATTTTTTAAACTCAAGTAGAGTATTTCTGTTCGCAAAGGGTGCGCATTTGCGAAGAGGGCGCCACCGAAATTTGAAGACACTTTCTTAATTGGCTCAAAGAGAGAAGTGGCCCCTCTTGTTATGTAGACTCTCTGCTGAAAGCTAGGAACCATAGGAATCGATTCTGAACCCATTTACATTCTAATGATATGATTTCTTCCGGGAATTCATGATTTCTTCCATGGTTTTGACCCCTAGACGATTACAATTACTTTCGGCGAGCAGTAGCAAAGATAGTACAAGACAAGATGGGCCACTTCTCTCTTTGAGCCAATTAAAAAAGTGTCCTCAAAATTTGGTGGCGCCCTCTTCACAAAAGCGCATTCTTTGCGAACAGAGTTACCCTACTTGAGTTTTTAAAAATCAAAGTGAAACCAGCAAGTTTTGGGATAAATTTCGGAAGAACGCTTTTTAAAAATGGTTACGCTGACAAAAAACCTCTTCCGGAGGAAAAGGAGATTGTTTTCTTCGTTTAATTTGACTTTACAATGAAGGGCGAGAGGTCATTAAAATTTTAAAAAACCTAAAACACCGCACTGAACGTACCCGAACTGCTGATGAACAGCAGTCGATCTGCGCGCACGCAAGGAGGTGCTATTCCTATTCTTCTTCTGGAAAAACGAAAGAGAGCTTCAAAACAGACTGCAGCGCCATCTGAAGCAAAGAGCATACTTCCTGCGGACACTTTTTAGGCTGAGTGGCCCATCTTGTCTTGTACTATCTTTGGCAGTAGTTACCCCACCAGTAGAAATCACTCCGTGAGTAGCGATTACTTCTAATGAGTCCAATATCTAGCCAGTTACCGGTTCCCTGGTCGGCTCCGAACATTTTCACAATTTAGGATAACTCGATTTTAGAACAAGGCAAGGCACCAACATTTTTTTTCAATGTAATTTCCAAACAAAAAGAAGACCATTTTAATAATAAAGTCATAGTTAACCGTTGGTTTTAGGTAATTTTAAAAAAAAAGAAATTCTCTTCCGTAGCACTAATCGCGGGAATCGGTTGTGGAACCGATTCTTCTGTAAAGTGGCAGGTGCAGATATGCAGAGCTTTGTACTTAACAATGCGAGACCTTGAGCATAATTTGGTGAAACATGAAGTCATTTTGGTCTTGATCTTCGTGTGTACAAAACTGCGGATCGATTACACCAACATAAGATCTTACAAATTGACCTCTTCCTGATACAGTTCAAGAAGCCATTTTGTTCCCATGATGTGACCTTGAAGAAGGGAAAAAAACCCATTCTAAATAGAGGACTGTGTCTCTTTTTATAATACTTGCTCTCTTCTTATACCGCCAGGTACATAAGGCGGAGAGCAGTCCATGTCTTCTCGTAATAGATCATAGCAAATTCGTTTCATCCAGTTTAGAAATTAGATTTGCCTTTTGTCACGCACATTTCCTCCCTCAGGAATTTGGCCGGTAAGTTTAGACAATAACAAATTTACAATGTTTCAGAAAGCTGTTTAAAATCGCAAGAGTTATACATGCATACAAACAAAATATTATAGTATTATAATAATATGTGAAGCATTGTGGTAAATCAGGCGCTCGTCAAAATAATGACACCGAAGAAACTGTCATTTTACTGCCAGTTTAGCAATTATTATCGATTTTTTGTTCGCTCATCGTCTTTAATGTCTATTTAAAACACACGTCCGTGAAGATTTTTCTTTTTAAAAGAAAAAAAACCTGTTGATTTAAGGCAAAACATATACATTTCCTATTTCCAAGCACTTTCAAGCTATGGAAGTCGCCAAACTTTGGCGGCCATTTTCTCGCTAACTTTACCTCTTAAACCAGGTGGTCCCAACCTCCTTCAATTGCGAATATCTCGAATTCTGTTCAAGATAGACGGGTATTGCCATTGGCAACAGGCGGCCTCCACTTCAATCGCCAATATCTTGACTTCCATTCTTGATAGATGGGCATTTTTTTTCTTCAAACGTAACAAAGGCTTTAGGACGATACCAATAACTTTATGTTCCTCAAAATTGACAAGCACCTGATTCCACTGCGTCGTGACATATATTTCATGCTATGCTTAAAGAGAAGAATTGAAATACCCACCTGAGACTTTTCTTTGACCGCTTCTTTTTCCTTTCATTTCTGAAGCAAAACTGCAGACTTCTTCTGAATATTGCTGAAGTTGACATGACCCTTACCCTTTTAAAATATTTAACAATTATTTTAAAATTAGTTCTCGGTCGAATTACTTGTAATATAACTTTAAAAAAGAGGCTTCTTTTTCTTTTTGTTTTACGTTATCGAAATTGCTCACCAATAAAAATGCGTCTAGGTCAAATTAATAATTAATCATTTCGAATTAGAATATGAATCTACAATATTCACAGATAACAAGGATCCTATAATATTTTCTAGCAACTAAAATAGAAGAAAAAAAAGAAGAAAAAACAAAAAAGTCCAGGTGGAACTTCCTGAAAAAAGCGCCGACTTGGCGAGGAGCTGACCATGGAACTATGGGAACTATTATTATATCAGGGTAACATAGTTTCTGGAGAGATGAACAGTCTGGCGGAGAATTCAAGCGTGTTTATCCATTCAAACGCAGCTGGCCAGAAGGTTTCCAGACTTTGCAACGGTCAGGCTCACAGATCTAGTCTGTTTTAATTTATGTTCCACGAAATTTATGGAGACCTGTGAGCACAACGTATCTGCAATGATGCAGTACTAATGTATATATGGAAAGCTACTAAGACTACTTCGTACTAGTACAAGGGAACTAAAGACCAAGCGCGGCAAATTGTTAGCTTTTTTCTCACTTACCCCAAAACTTCATCACACATGACCTATTGAACATGCTTTTGGAGTTCTATGGGGTAATACCATGCTAGGTTAAGTTTACTACCAATTGTGCTTCAGGTAAAATATGTTACCTGAAAGGATGTTTCCAATGAGCAGATTCGTATAACTTGTCCTGGACATCTCGAAAAAAACATAATTGGGTACATTTACTTTAATAAGGTATCGTTGGACGCGTTGCTGACTGCCCTGATAATAGTTTTACTGTTGGAGTCTAAGTTTTACTTTTGGAGAAAAACAATTTTAAGCTTCTAAATAATGAAGCGTCCTCCTCCGAATCTTTGTTACTTCTTTCCTTCTACACTACCACAAGATGACTGACAGAATACACAACTAAAGCTAGAGTAATAAATGGAAATAGTAGTTAATAGAACAACAAAACAAACGAAAACAAAAAAGTACCGGGTTGGTGGTTGTCTTTGATAAAAACGTTGCCACAAAGACAAACTTTGTTGGTGGTGTCTCACACGTTCCAAGTAATCAGTTGCTGTGAATTTCTTTGGCATTTTGGAGAGAATAGTCAGCAGTTGTCTCTTTTGTTCCGAATCAGTCTCTTTCGTTCCTCTTACGTTTTCAAACAGCAAACACTTTCTCCCACACATTTCAACTAGTTCTGTCAGTTTTCCCATCTGGCAGTCTACCCAATGCTCAAAGGGTTCACCGTTGTTCCTCGAGTGATAGTCTTCTCCGTAAGTGAATATGACAATGACGTGGTCTTCGAAAAACTGAGAACCAAATATGCTCTTTAAATTACGGACTACTTTTTGCTCCTCGTCAGTATAGCGAATGCCGTAGCGCAAAACAATGGCAAAGGCATCGATTCCGTTTCTACTGATGTCAATAGCTTCTTCCATGTAGTCAAGCATTTGTTTTGCGCCTTTTCTCTCATCCATATAGCAGTTGCTGAAAAGACCTGGAGAGTCAATGACTTCCAGGATTGTGTCCGTGTCAGATGAGGTGCAGATGCCAGTCGAGGCGACGAAAGTGGTTGGTTCGTGCTGGTACGTGATGCTTCCCTCTACCATACGTGAAGATATGGCGGTCTTCCCACGCCCAGTTTTCCCGAGGAGCATTATGCTGTAACGTTTGGCCATCGCTGTATCAGACACCTGAAACATTCAGATTTCAGTACTAATCTTACCATAGCACTACAGTATCTAGAATGTGGTATTGATGTGCTGTTAGAAAGAAAACACTTTTTATCTTATCGAGCCAAAGGATACAGATCTAATCCACCCAGCCTAGTGTATCCCAGGATCTGCTCCTAATGCTTACACTAAAAAATACAAATTGTTTCTATCCGCATCCTATTGTTAAAAGTTAAATTTTGGAAGTCAGGAGAGAGATTTGGGGGGGGGGGGTAGTGGTTGCGTTTCGAAACCATTCTTCAATACTTTTCTCTGGACTGAAGTCCATCAAACGAGAAGAAATCATTTTCAAGAATCATGCAAATGCAATGGAAGTCACGATTTATCTAACAAAATATTGCGTAGATCTGTGCAAAGTGAATGTGACATTGAAATATTTTATCAGTTAAACATTGATATAGCACTCAGAAATTTTCGTTTATTTTATCATTTTTAAAATCTGGGGATTATCTTGTGCTGAAAATGTCAGATAAGAATAGGGCACTCAAATAATATTTGAACTTCAATAGTTAATTATTGTATGAAACGAAATGACTGGAAATGCTATCGATAAAACGGAAAAGGCTCTCGTGTACTCATAAAGAATTGGGGGAATTTGCAAAACAAAATATCTGATTCTTCAGCATTGATAAACATATCCAGTGTCAGGTTCTTAATGTTCCAGGGGATGAAACTTAAAACAGTTTGATTCTTTAATAACCATTACCGTCATCAAATGTGTGTGTGCGTGTGTTTGTGTGTGTGTGTGTGTGTGTGTGTGTGTGTGTGTGTGTGTGTATGTTTGTGTGTGTGTGTGTGTGTGTGGGGGGGGGGGGGTGCTTGAAAAAAGGACCCATTTGTTGGCGAAGTCACTGTCCAGCTAGAAGCCTACAAAGGTGTGTGAGCAAACGCCAAAAGCATAGTTCCTCCTACTCCTATCCCCAGTTGGCTCAGTTCAGTTTGCAAATGGAAACAGAAAATTTTCCACACGTGCAAAAAGTACGATCGTATCTTTATCTTATCTTGTAACGATTGGTTTATTTGAGGCAAAAGTCTTAACAAAAACTGTTATGACAGACCTGTTATTGTGTCACGATTTGACAGTCTCGTAGGGTTAAATTCTACACGAGGCTTGCCATTTTGAAAGAGAGAGAGAGAGAGAGAGAGAGAGAGAGAGAGAGAGAGAGAGAGAGAGAGAGAGAGAGAGAGACAGACAGACAGACAGACAGACAGACAGACAGACAGACAGACAGACAGACAGACAGACAGACAGACAGACAGACAGACAGACAGACAGACAGACAGACAGATTTTAAATAAGACTGGGGCCGAGCATATGATATATGAAGAATTCGAATATTTCGACCAGTAGATAACCATACTACAGTGTTAAAATTGACAGTAGAACCATGAAATGCAATAACATAGCGAGACAATAATTACGAAAAGACAAGAAAAAAGCAAAACTTTATTGGTCTCCAAAGCATTGTTCACTTTGTAATGACAGGCGCATCTGATTATGAGACAAGCATGGAAATATCCTTCAATGATATAAAATTATTGATAACAACACTGTGTATTGTGGTTGTGGTTTAGCTCGATGTTATTGAGCTATGAATATGCTTTGCCCATGGACACCCCCCCCCCCCCAGAACCATCCACTCAAAGACATTTTAAACTTGACCGTTTTTATGAGAGACGATGCTCATTATCCAATCAGTCACATTGCAGTAGACGGTATACTCTAAAATCTAGAAAGATCAAGTTATGATAATTTATCCATGATGTTACATGTTTTCTTGTGAGCTGTATAAAAATTAGATTTTTAAAATATTCTAAAATAGAACAGTCAAACCTCATTGTAGGCCTTCCTCCCCCGCCATACTGCCAGTCCCGTTTACCGCCAGGTTTTGTCAACGTACGAGAAGGAACGCCTATATAAACATAGTATTTGTGCAATTACACCGCCATCCGCCAACTGTCTGAGTTGTAGTCTACATTAAATTAACACATTTGCCCCGTTATACCGCCAGAAAATTGGGCTTCACAGGAACACACTACACACGCCACACGGCACTCACTTAGTGGCTGCTTGATTATCTCTTTCCCAAAGTCGTCTCTGCGAGTTCGGCTTACTTTTAACACTATTTTTTCGCCGATTTTCTCTTGATTTGCACTCATTATGAATATACTATTATTTCTAGGCTTTGGCCAATACTATGATTCAAAAGTTGAAATGAAATTGTAAAGTCTCTTGGAGAAACTTCAAAGGTACTGAGCCACTTCCGCCTGTCGGCAATATATTTAGCTTCGTTAAATATGAGCCCAATGACCAAAAGGCTGGCGGGCGTCTATGAGGCTTGTGAGGATTCACAATATTACGTGAAAGGTTTGAGGCGGCCAGAGGACTGACGAGTAACGGGTTTAAAATATTACGTCTTCGTGGTCCTTGACACATAATGTTATAACCTAGCTTCTGATCCAGCAGAAACTTTTATTTGAATTTACATATAGTTCAGCTGGAGCTGAACACGCAATTGGTTGCTACTCGTTTTTCCCTGGGCATGGCAAATTTGTATCTAGTCTCTACCACTAGATCTAGTCAAGATTGTTATACCGCGTTATGCCGCCAGCCCCGCTGTACCGCCAACTTCATGCTCGTCCCAAGGTAGGCGGTATAGTGAGGTTTGACTGTACATGAAATCTTGTTACGAACAAACCAGATTCACAAAGCAAAAATCTTATTTTTTCAGGACCTTCCGGTTCAAAAACAAACAGAATGTTTAAAAGTGATGGTTTCAGATATAACTATGAAATAAGTCATTTTAACTAGTTAACTCTACTTATTTCTTCCAGTCTTTCAGAATTGCGGGTTCATAACCTACAAAAGCCTTAATTACAATTCAGCGCTTATCTATCAAGATATAACCAAAGCATTATCACTGAAAATAGTAAAATAAAAAGTATACTTTGCAACATGTACACACCCTTGGTATTTCATACGGGGCCTTTTTTGTTGTTTTTATTGTTTTTGTAGAGGATGTTTTTGTTGTCGTTATTGTTTTTTTCGATATTTTGTTAGTTTTGTTTCAAAATCGCTTTGTGAAAAACATATAGGGCCTACCAAAAGACTTTTCAAAATCAATTATACAATGTATCATTCTTAGTTTCTGCTTAGACCAGGACAAACTCGGCACTGTCTTTGGGTCGTCGACTAGCAAATTTACTTGCTCGGAATATTTAAAAGTTAAGTGATGTAAGCTAGAATTATTTCAAAAGCAATAATAATTCCAAACATTGATAGGGCTCAATATTACAATGAAGGAAAAAACGACTATAGTGAAATGCCAATATGTGAGTCGAAAAGAAAACAAAGGAAACTGTCAAAATCGGCACTGAAAAAAACTGGTATAAAAATAACAAATGATATCCATGTCTAGGACGACATGCAGTGCATGTGGCATTAACTGACGGCAGATGGATGTAATGAACAGCAGCATACTCGCGTGATGTATGTCGTGCAACACAGAACATTAGTAAACAGTACAGTGGGCTTTGCTTAAAGGATATTGCAACATGATGGTTCTTTAAGAACTTCCGCAGTGAAAGGACCCTCCTTCATACGAACGTCGTTAGCCATGTTGAGGACTTCCTGTTGTTGTTCCTGCTTTCTTTGTTGATCAGGTTGTAAATTTTCAAACAACAAGCATCTGTAATATACACTTTTTAACAGTTTACCGAGTTCACCGGTTTGTGCCTTACACCAAGACTGAAATGCCCTGGGACTGTTGCCATATCTCATTTCGAACTCTCGACCATGGGTGAAAAGGACAGCAGTCCGTTTCCACATCTCGTCTGCGTTATCCGACTTAAATAAATCTTTCACCACCCCAAGGTCTTCCGCTTCAAAGGGATTTCCAAAAATCAACACCACGAGGAAAAGGTGTATTTCATCGTGGCACACTGAAAGGGCCGTCTTCAAGTAGTCTAACATCCTTCCAGGGGAGCTTTCTAGAAATCTAGTTTCTCTTAGCCCAGGTGTGTCCACGACTCTGATGTTGTATGGCCCTATAATTGAGGTGCGGACGTCCACTCTCGTTGTCTTGGAATAGGAAGCATCACTGAACCCGAACCCTTTTTCGTCTATGATGCTGTTTCCAGTATCACTTTTGCCATTGCCAGTCTTGCCTATCAGCACGATGTTGAGTCTTGTGGTCATACTGGCAGCACGGCTGAGGAAGAGAAGTCCACACCGTCTGATGTTAGCCTGCGACGAGTCCTGCTTAAGAGCAGCTTTCTTAACATCTTCTCTTAACATCCCCCATGTTCTAAAGCAAGAAAATAAAAAGTGTCACGACACGGTGAAATCAGGCGCTCGTCAAATATTGTGCATATATAGTTGTTGATATATTCTTAAAGCCTGTTCGTTTGCTTTGCTTTTGCTTTTTTAAAAATCCTGTCTACCTTGAATAGAAGTAAAGATATTCTCAGTTTGAAGTAGGTGGATGTCGCCTTCGCCTTATGTCAAAGGTAAAGCAAGTGAGAAATGGCCACCGAAGTGTCGTAAATTCCAAAGTTTGAGTGTCCTTGGAAACTAGGAATTTGCCTTTTTCCCGCCTTGGATCAACATTTTTCAAGAAAATCCACGCAGAGTTGTGTTTTCAAATGAGCATAAAGGGTGCTAAGCCAAAATAAAATGATAAAAAGTTCCCAAAATCGTCGGAAAAAATGTTATTTTGACGAGTGCCTGATTTCACCGCGAAGACACATAATAATATATTATTCTCAGTATTTTTCAACCACTTTTATCCATATTGCGGAGAAATTGCCATGCTTTATTTCTTAATATAAAACCAACAATGCATAAAGAATATTTAGTGCATCTATTTAAAGTATATGCCACCCCCAAATACACACACACACACACACACACACACACACACACACACACACACACACACACACACACACACACACACCACACACACACACACACACACACACACACACACACACACACACACACACACACCTTCCCCCTTTGGGCGGGCTACTGAGCAGATTGTTAAGATCCCGAAGGGCCAGATCCGAAACAGATGTCTGCAAAAATGGTTCGCCACTCATTTCCCAGCTTGAATGCTCTCAGAAACCTTATTTTAACCCCATCTATTCGAGCCATCAAAGTAATTAATTATTCTAAACACTGTTCACTGAATTATCACCTCCTTTTGGTCGCCATTTTTTTTGTACTTGAGCTTCCTTTATTCTCACTTACTTTTTAATTTTAAAATGTTGCAGAATAAATCATTTATTTCTTGAGTAGTGGTGGTAGATAATTAGAGTGCTTACTACTGGTAATTTCACAAGTAGGATAAATCATGGTCTACCACCATAACGAGTGCAATAAAATGTTTATACCATACTGATATCAGCTGGCGAAATACATCCGGACCAACAAAGTTCAAATGACTAACCAATTGGACAAGAGGATTCATTCAAGATCCTCACACGAAAATAACATTTTCATGCCCGTCTGAGCCATAGTGAGGATTGGAAAGATCTGGACTGTTTTCCTTTATTTTTTGCCACGCTAATTTATATGTTATGCTATGTGTATGCCCCCCCCCCCCCCCTCCGCGAAATAAAACCCAAACAAAACAATGATAACGTAAGCATAGGCAAAGCAAGCATAAACCGTACGATTCAAAAGTTGAAAAATTGAGAAACTAGATTTATACGACATGTTAGAATAGGGATAACTTTCACTTTAATTTCAAACTTTGCAACCAAACAAACCAAAGGCTGGGAGTCGTTTGCTAGCATAGGCCTAGATTTGCTAGCATTATCAAAGAGGTTATAAATAGAACTAGAGGTCTTAGCTGTGACGTCAGGAGTGTCAAACTTGAAGGGGGCGCCGCCATTCCGGAGGGGAATAAAAGGCCAGTCGGTGCACAGCTACACTTTTCAATCACGGATTAATGATACTCTGCGAAGTCATTTTATGTTGATTTCTTTTTCATGTAATTTGCCTATCGCTAAAACGTACCCATAGGGATTTTTGTGATTGTTTACCTTTAAATGAGCCCGATAATCTCCAAATAAGGCAAATAAGGCCTTGTGCACGCTGAGGCCATTCGGGTTAGTAAAATTCAGAACAAATTAAGGAGTTGGACTTTATGATCACTTGTTAAAATAAAAAAAACATAAATTTATAGAAATCTTTTGTTGTGCGTCGCTCAAAACAGTATGTCTAGATTTAGCACCGCTGACCTCAATAAGGCGCTCGTATGGGCCCTCTGGAATCAGGAATGTGACTGAGAAGCTGCTAGAAGCTTCAACTGCAATTTTAGCACACCTTCAAGGCTGGCTGGACGGAAAAGAACCACTGTTGATGTTGCTGAGATGAGAGAATAGAAAGTAGCAAACCAGGTGTAACTACCCACCAATAAGACCGGCGTAATAATATTCTGTCTCATTTGCAGGACCGATGCCAAACAGCATATTGCATCAGCAGCAGCACGGGTTCATGGAAGATGGCATGTTTTATACCCAAACACCTTTGCCAATCAACGCCAATTTTAGAAAATACTGTGAACGTTCAAGATAAAAAGGTTATTTATCTTAGACTGGCATTTCAAAACGTTGTCAGTGTATAATTATTTGTGCCCGATATGAATCAACGCTCTTTGAATTTGGGTGTGCGCAAAGGATCCATGTATTTGAGTGATTTACAGTATCCCAGTCTACAATTAATTGTTCATTTTGAGAGAATAATGTATTAACATATTAAATAGTTAACCCAGTTTTAGCCTCCTCCACACACTATGAAGACCTAGGCTTTGCATCAGTTGAAGGAGAGTGTAGACAACATGACATAAAAGCATTCAATTTTGAAAGTATTGAAATTGTCCTTTTTCTTAACAAACTCAATTACTCACTTTATTTTCTTACGCCCCTCCCCCACCCAGCGGAGTTTCTAATCCTCTTTTTTTTTTAAAAGGAAGTGTCTACGTACTCCCCGATTGGGGTCTGCGTAGTCAGGTCATGGTGTCTTGGTGGACCCCAAAAATGTTGGATTGTGATTGGCTCGCTGAGCGAGCGGTAGTTTACATTGGTTACAATGTAGGCCAGGGCAAGATCGACTCTGGGATCGATTCTTTCGAGTCCAAATGAGGACTCACAGAATCGATCTTGTTCACAGACTCTAAGCTTCGGGTCCGCCCAGGGTCGATGCCTCCCGCTCCTTTTTTTTTTTAGCCTGGTTCCTAGTAGGCCGGGGCAAGATCGACTCTGGGATCGATTCTTTCGAGTCCAAATGAGGACTCACAGAATCGATCTTGTTCACAGACTCTAAGCTTCGGGTCCGCCCAGGGTCGATGCCTCCCGCTCCTTTTTTTTTTTAGCCTGGTTCCTAGTAGGCCGGGGCAAGATCGACTCTGGGATCGATTCTTTCGAGTCCAAATGAGGACTCACAGAATCGATCTTGTTCACAGATTCTAAGCTTCGAGTCCGCCCTGGGTCGATGCCTCCCGCTCCTTTTTTTTAGCCTGGTTCCTAGCCTAGACTC